ACCTTAGAACTGAAGAAGCTTCTCGGATGAGAGGTGAAACGTCTTCAAGCAACTTAAAGAAGTCCAGACGCTTTTCTTTGCAAGCTCCTTTGACTGCTGCAAGCTGACTGACATCCATTTTCATTTTTGCTTGAAATGTTACAGGATATAATGCAGAATAATTTCTTATAATTCTTATGCTTTAAATATCTAAAGATTCTTTTTGACTATTTCCAGATGTATTTAATGACTGTGACTCTGCCTTTGTCTCTGCAGCCCACACACTTAGCTAACTTTAATCAGGTGCAGTCCATCCAGTACTCTGCTTTGGACGAGAAGGACAGGAAAGGCATGCTGCAGCTGAACGTGGCCGGAGCTCCTGAGGTAAAAACACACACCCTGTATACTCTTCATCTGGCTCTCTGTGTGTGTTACAATGTGAAATATATTGCATATAGCATATTGCTGTTTAAATTTGAGTTACACCTATTTGTATGCGTTTCCTCTCAAACATGTGGCTCATGTACATTCTCACTGAAAATGCATATAATGCAAAGTCTCTGTGCCAATAAGTGGATGTTGTTTTCCTGCTTGTGTTGGCTGCTGATGAAATCACACTTGTCACAGAGATTATTTCCATCCAGCTGATGAATGCTAATGTCACTGTTTACTTTATAAAATAGACTGTGTGTAGAATTACTTAAACATAATAGTTCAAGTTATATTAAAACACATGAAAAACTAGGTAAGCTGCAGGAAAAAGGAGAGGAGCCTGAGTTTCATATTGACTGTGTGTTTGCAGCAGGCTTACAGAAAACATATCACTGCCACAGTATTGGAGCAGGGATATGTGTCTATATGGGACTGTATGTGTGTGTCTGCACGCACTAATAGGAGGCCTTATTCCTAATAAAGCCCTCGTTGTGTCACTGTGAAGCAGCGCTCTGTCCCGTTCTTACACTAATCCTTCTGTGGGTGTGTGTGTATAGCCCCTCACTGTCACTACAGCATTGCTGACTACGGCAGAAAACATGGCCGACTTGATTGACGGTTACTGTCGGCTCGTCTCCTCAGTTACTCACTCCTTCATCGTCAGGGTCCACAAAGGTAGGACGTTCAGCTGTGCAGATTTTATATTATAGTCTAATGTTTCACTTTTTTGTTGTTGTTGTTTGTTTGAGTTTTGTTTGTTTGTTTTTTGTAGCTTTGTAGCAGTAAGATTGTGCAAAGATGATGATTGTGGTCATGTTTCTATTGTTTCTATCCTAATAGTAGCTTAAAACAAAAAAGCAAACTGTAAATAGTACCACATTAAAATCGCTGTCAAGTCATCTCTCAGACTGAGGTGGAGTCTTGATTGTGACTAGTGAGGCTTTATGCTTGTCGCTTTGATTAACCAGATGGTGTCTGGCTAGTGTTTTCTAAAAATAGCTATGGCTACAAAGAAATTGTGAAATCGTAGCTCTAGCATGAAGTCAGTCTGCTCTGTGACCAATT